TAGTAAATACAGGAAAAGAACATTTGTTAGAGGAAAGTGAGTAAGACCTTTGTTTCCAAATTTTCTTTTTCTTCTGTATCTGGGGGAAAGTGGAAATAGGAGGAGAAGCCTCCCAACCACCTCAGCACCCAGGGATGAGGAACAGCCTCCCGATGTCATCCCATGGTCCCTGATGCGGAGCATGCTCTGAGGGTTCTGGTCAAATTGTTTTGATAGTTCTGAAATGCTGTCAATCTCATCGATCAAAGGATCAGGAAATTTTTTCAAGGTCCATTGGCTGACATAGTCCACCTTAGAGTTTCCATTCTCTCAGATACTTGCTGCCAATGCATGGCTGGGGGAGTTGCCCTCCTTCCTCTGCTGTGGTACCAGATGTCCTCTGCAGGCTCCAATGGACTGTCAAATTCTCCACGTGCATTTTGGTATGCCATCCACTGTTCCGTCTAAGCCACTGAAGAGACCGATTTCTGACACATAAACTCCATGATCAGACCACAGATCCTATGATTCTCCCCATGGCTGGAGTTCTGAGTCTAACAGTTCAGTTTCTGAGTCCAGTGGTTCAGCTGGGGGAGACCTCAAAAGAAACCTCATTTGAAGTGATCCCAGACATGATTCTTGTGTGTACTTGCCAGTACAGGGTCTGGCTCGGTCGTCACCCACATCAACCTATGCACATACTGGTAGCTGGAATTGACGGATCAGTTCTGTCTCTAGCCATGTCTCTTATATAAATCAATGGATGCTGTGGCACAGTCCAAACCTGCCCGCCACACACTTGACCCTCATGTACATCATTGGGAACTGCAGTCTAGTCAGAACAACTCCCCCAAAACCCCCGCTAAGTGGACCCCCAGCCCTGGTTCCCATGCTTGCCAGTATGTGCAGCAGACTGGTCCAGTCTGTCCCACATCCTGTTCGGTTCTCGTATTTTAATGAAATGCACTTAATTTATAGGTCAGTTTGAGAGAAATCTACATTTGTATCACATTTATTGTGATTATCTCTCCTTGGGCTAGGTATTCTTTGTTGAATTGCAATCATCTGTAATATTCTACATGCATCTTACATTTTTACCAGGATATATTTAAAAGCATTTTATTTGCCCATATATTACATAGAACTTTAGTTACACATTCAATGCCTATTATTGATATATAGAATGCAATTGATTATGCTATATTATATTTATAATCATCTCACCAAATGATCCACTTCACATCCTTGAATAATCCCATGCTCTCTGATGTTTTTCTGTGTGTAGATAACCATGTTATCCATTGATCAAATGGCCTAGCATTTCGAGCACATTACTGAATAGATGTGATAATAGAATCAACTCACTGGTTTTGATTTGGGAAGAACTTCTTTTTTAAAAAAAGATTTTTTAATAAATAATTTTCACTGATTATTTTCTATTGTGCCAAGTTTTTTCAAATCATAAATATGTTTTGAATTGTATGACATGCATTTTCTTTTATAAAAATAAAATGTCCATATGGTTTTTGTCTTTAATTGGAAAACATAGTTGCATTTTAAGATTTTTCTAACGCTAAACTTTCATTTCTGGAATAAATCTAGAAAAAATACTCTTATGTGGACAATAACCACATACTTTGTGAGATAATATCTGCTAATATTTGGCTTTTATTTCTTTTCATGTCCTTTTAGCATCTGACAAGAAATTTGTAAGGTTTTAATTTACCTTATTTATTTTATCTAAACCAGAAATTATTTTCTGTAAAACTGGACTAATATAAGTTTTAGAATTTTAAAAGTTTTTTTCTGTATCAGAGCCTAATATTTTCTTGGAAAGATTTTAATTCCCTGATTTAATTTCTTTCAGTTTTAAGCGATGGGTTTTATTTAGTTGGTCTAGTTTCTGCTATCATTCCTGAGCTGCTATACTTTTTCTGTATGTATCATGTTACTGATGAGTAATTTTATCTTATCTCAATCTCTTTGCTAGTTCTCAACACTACCCATGGAACCAGAACTTCTGACAATACCTCTAGCCCTCTGAGAGCACCACTGTTTATTTTTTCTCCATAAGTGAGGGGGCTGGGTGGTTATTTATGAGGAACTGTGTTGATTTGCTAGGGCTGATGTTTGGGAAAAAATTACAAAGTTCGGGCTAAAAGCATCTCAGTGTGTTCCCCTGTGGTTCAGTGGGTTAGCAGCTTGCACAGACGTCACTGCCAAAAAGTCAAGGTGTGGGCAGGGCTGTCTAGGTTTACTTCTGGAGGTGTTGGGAAGACTCTGTTTCTTTGCTTTTCTTCACTTTTTAGAACAACTCAAAGTCTTTGACTGTGGTCCCCTCCTCCTTCCTCTAAAATCTATAATGACAAGTCAAGGCCTTCTGACATCCTAAGTGTTATGATTTAACTATGATTTGACCTCCAAACTCTTGCAGGAATTTAAGCCAGAAAGTCTTAGGTTGATGATATTAAGAGAATAAAATTTAATCAGACAATGGTGTTTAGAGGTGGGGCCTTTTGGAAGTGATTCTATTGTAGAAAGTTACTGGATTGCGACTCCTGCGATTCTGTTCTGATGCTTTTATAGGGAGAGTGAGAGCAGAGACAGCCACAGACAGACACGCACGCATACTCCCTACCTCCTGCGGTGGGATGCTCTGTGCCACCTTGATACCCTACCAACAAGAATACCTGCATCATGGCAGAACCCCTGGGACCCTCATAATCTTGATTGTGAACAACCAGAAATGAGCCAAATAAAGTATTCTTCATTTGAAAAGTAGCTTATCTAAGGCATTTCAATATAAAGATGAAAGGCTCAGTAACACAGCATCTCTTTGTTTAGTAATCCAATCTCCCTTACTCAGAATTCCTCTTCCCGACTTCTTCCAGTTGTAAAATCCAGGATAGCCCAGAATCATCTTACTCTATCAGTATGTTGATTGGCAGCTTTGATCCCATTTACAAACTTCCTTCCTTTTTGCCTCTCTACGTAACATAATCGGGGATTACTCAGAGTATATTTTCTGGGACCATTATCTGCACACATAGAAATTAAGGCCAAATTCACCAGCAGTGGCAACACTCTTACACACTGAACTTCCGAAATTTCAGTGAACCACAGTATCCATCCAATGTTAATTTTGTTTAAAAAATTGGCAACTAAGACAGTTTTCATTACACGTTGATTCTAAAATGAATCTCAATTGCTGAAACATGAAAAATTACGCAATTGAATCAATGACAGAAAAGCAATTTTGACTTTTATTCGCTCAGCAGCCTTTAAAATATGCTTAATAAATAAAGTGAACTTATCAGCTGAGATGCCTATTTTTAATATTCTATAACATTGACATAATACAACCAACTGAAAATGTACATATTTTTGGACTCATCAGATTAGCAAAATGTCCTGTTGTTTGAAAAATCATAGTTCTGGGAAATAAAAGGGTTCTGTTTCCAAGTCAATACTTGCCACTTATAATTTTACTCTAGAATTTCACTCCCAGGTATTTTTTTTTCTTGGATTGTTTTATAGCTGTATTTTTGTCTATTATGTAAAGTATCATGTTACAAGGAGAAGCGACTTTCCTCATGTTTGGAATAACAGATGCAGAGAACAGTGCTGCTAGGCAAATCACCAATCTGTCAGCAGGGACAACACGGGGGAAGGGAACGTGCCCAGCTCTCAGCCCTGATTTACAACTAGCTGCCTTGCAGTTATCACAGTTTTACAATATCTGTGAAACGGATAACACAACCCATTTAAAGATAAGAAGTTCAAGTTTTTGAGACATTAAACAGCGTTACCACATTACTTAGTCAATAAATAACAGTCTGATAGACATAGATGATGTCTGACTTTAAAATCTATGAATCACTGGTTCTGTTTCAAAGCTTTCTTTGTCTTGAAAGAATACTGATAATAAGACATGCTGAGGGTACTGAGAGAGACAGTCTGGGAAGGAATTCTGTGCATTACAACGCACGCCGTACATCTCAGACGGACGCTGCTAAAAGATGTGCATTTCTTCTATTTATAAGCCTCGTTGATTGTGCAATTATAATGATTAATTGTTGTACTTCCTCTCTCACTATACCTACAGAATGGGACTAATTATCAGGTTATCTCAAGTCTAAATTATCCAAAATAATAAACATAGCCCTCCACTTTTTTCCTTTCTTTTCCTTCTTTCAATATTTTCATAACAACGTGCAAGTTGAACAGGGCTGACTTCACCTTACAGATAAAAGAGAAAAAGTACACGTAGACAAGAAAACATCTGATAAAAATCACACACATTTGTGTCATGTGGGTAGATTTAAAACTCTGTATACTTATTTTGACAATATGAACTTCTAAACTTCTTTGGTTTTATTACAATTGACATAACTGCTAAGCAGTCTGTGAAATTGTGCGATTGCTTCGTTTGTTAAATGTCAGCATTTTGCCAACACTTTCTCTTGTAAAAGAGATGATTACAATCACCTCATTTTCTGCCACCACTTTCATTTCATCTCAAGGCAGAGCGATCGACACAGAGACAAAAAGAGATAGGGATTTACCCATTCGCTCGCCACGTGACCACAGCAGCTACATCTGCGCCAGGCCAAAGCTATCAGACAGAAACTCCATCCTGGTTTCCCACACAGGTGGGAAATGTGTGACTTTGTATACGAAAAATCCTCACAAGTCAGATGATGGGATAGAATTCTCTTTCGACACAATCTGCAAAGGACTTTAAGCACTTAAAACTTGAACATATGTATATATCACTGGGAAAATAAACAATCAGTGCAAGGCTGAAAACATAATTTTTAAATAATCTCCAAAATGTGGCTTACATACAACATTCAATTAACTTATTAATGGAAAAGGTATTGAAGAAAATGAACACAGAGGATAAAAAAATATGTATCTACAACATTCTAAAAATATCCATTAAAACCAGTTCACTTAAATACTATCCTATATTTAAGTACAAGGTTCCAAGAACTCCTAAAGTGTAGACATTTACTCACCAACAGTATCACATGGCTCGTCTTTGTGGACACAGAAATCTTTCCTAGGGAGAAAAATAGGAAATCAGAGCGAGGATACATTGCTAGGCACAAAACAGCAGATATTAGATGACTCATTGACAGTCATGTGATTAGATAGACCCACTTTTTATCTTTTGGATTTAATAAAACTAAGATCGACTCATTTTAAATAAAACCAAATATTATTTAAATCTTATGATACATTTGTATCTGCTATAATCTAGAAGTATGTCACGGTTCATAAATACTGTTTCAAAACTGAAGTCCTGCTTGGTTTTGAATTTTACAGGGTTTCTTTGTTTCCTGACAACAATGTAGCATAGGACTGCTTCCCCTTCTTTCTCTCCTTAATTAGTACCACCCCTCAGATACTTGGACTTTATGTTTCTGTCTTTATGGTCCTGCCTTCTCCCACTGGTTTGCTTTAATCACCTTCCGGAGTCGCCTCTGTCCACAAGAACCTCTCGGCCACCACAGAGGTCCTCTTCCTGCAAGGAGTTGGGGCGGCCCCAAACCCAGCATGTCCAAGGATTGCCCAGCGAGCTGTCTCCTGTCCACTGTGCATTTCCAAACAACAGACACAGTATAGCATGTTTCCATTCATTTGTACACTTTTAATTTTTTTCAAATATGGCATGCTGTTTTCCTGGTGAATCAATGAAGTAGTTCATCCAATCCGGAAAACTGAAAGTCGGCTGATACTGCTCAGTATGTAATTTTCCATAGACATGGAAATCCTCTCCAGACTAACTGCATACATTTTACAAGTCTACTGTTCTAACTGAATAAATTGTACAAAGTGGATTCATTTTGTTAGCTCAAGGTAAATGGCAAAGACACCAAGAAATGTTGATGAACTAGGTAATGAGGTTACACTGCACCACTAGGAAGCTGAATATCTATGCCTGTTGTGGAAAAAAAAAAATCTTCCTGAAAGCATGTTCCAAAACCAGAAGGAAAACTCCACAGAAATGACAGAAATTGAAATTTTATCCAGTAAAACATAACAACCCTGGATATTATATCTTCACATTCCTACGAGGTAACTAATGGTAGGCAACCCCTTCAGTCACAATACATAACCCCAGAACCTTCCCATCAAAGACAGAAAGCTACTTTTCTGCTCAATGTAAAGTGACTGCTATGCTAAGAACAAGGAGCTAGGATCCAGTGCGGTAGCCTAGTGGCTAAGTCCTTGCCTTGAATGCACCAGGATCCCTTGCGGTTGCTGGTTCTAATCCCAGCAGCCCCACTTCCCATCCAGCTCCCTGCTTGTGGCCTGGAAAGCAGTCGAGCATGGCCCAAAGCCTTGGGGCCTTGTACACACATGGGAGACCCAAAAGAAGTTCCTGACTCCTGGCTTTGGATCTGCTCAGCTCTGGCCGTTGTGGCCACTTGGGGAGTGACTCAGCAGACGGAAGATCTTCCTCTCTTTCCTCCTCTCTGATTTTCCAATAAAAATGAATTAATTAAGAAAAAGAAAGAACTTCCTTCGCTCATCTTCTGCAAAGTTGTCCTCTCTGGCTTCAAACTAACGACACACGATCCAAGTAAACTTGCTTTTTTTTCTGGTGGCATTAATATATCCAAGGTTTGAAACTAAGCATTACTAAAGAGTACTGGAATTTTTCAGACTAATGTTTTGAAAACAAAATGAACATTTCTCTGCAAAGGAAGATTCTTACAGGGATACCACACAGGGTCGAGCGCTGTAGAACTGTGGGGCTTTGTGTGCATGCCTGACACTCTGAGCGGTTCCCCTGAGAGCTGTCCGGGGGCAGCCTGTGCACTTGGACTTGGGGGCACAGTCACTGTCGGGCTGTCAGCTGTGAGGCACTGGGTTAGCGGAATGACGTGGTGCTGAGGACAACAGGCTTCTCTGAAGGCACAGCACACAGCACACCTCTGTGATGTGGGCCCCATTTGGTGACAAACAAGCAGGGGGAACTGTTCTCAACAATGGATAGCTCTTCTATTTTTTTCTTTTCTCAATTGTCTTTGCCAGCAAACAGAGACAGAAATACCCAAAACAGATGATACTGAATAATATGGTAATGAAGCAAATCAAAGAACCACATAAAATCAAATCTTCACCACGGGGCCAGGAATCACTGAGTGTAAAGTGTATTCAGATGTAGACAGAAAGGGATTTATTTTGGTGATTTTTCTAAATATATAATACATTATATCATGATGCATGAGGCCACGACATGACTATTTGATTTACATAATGTGAAACAAGGGACTTCATCCGTAACTAAACAACACGATAAAACTATGACAAATGCACTGCTTATTATCAAGGGCACTCAGAGTCCTTCACACAGCCAGTTTCTGTTCACTTAGCAAACAAATGAACAATGCACACGATTTCTAAAGAAACACGCGTTTCTTGATCCAAAAGCACTCAAAGTACCTCCCACTAAAATGGGATGATAAACTGCCAGCCGCCGTCACAAACCTCATGAAGAGTCGTAACTCTTCATCATCAATTCTTCAATCAACATGAAAATAATGCATTCCTAATTTCAAAAGAGTCAGAGAATTGTATGTGTGGCTAGGTGACTTTTTATTTATTTATTCATGTATTGCTGCCTATTTCTGTGGTCACGAGGATTCAAAACCCTGTCGTTTTTGGTCCATGTTCACTCAATGTTCAAGAAGCCTGCATCCCAGAGTTTCATGATGTGAGTTTATGCAACTGATACTGTTCAACTCTGGCAAGTCTGAAGGCCAATAAATCCTACTGACGTTTTGGTTTCTATTGAAAAAGAAAATGTTGACATTAATTTCCAGGAATGAAGATGCATCAGAGTTAGCCTCATTGTAGTGTTTTATAGTACCCTAGGTTATACCTATAAATGATTCACTCAAAAATTATTCTGTGATTAGTGTTAAATCAAGATATGCCTGCCATTTCTGTGTTTTATTAGACATTCTGTCTTCCTTGCCAATGACATTTATTTGAAGCTCAATTTCAGAAGTATTACATATAAATCAAAAGCATTTCAGTAAATACAAAAAGTAAAAACCATCCTTACAAAGTATTTTCAGGGGACAGGGTAGGCCTTCTCCATGATTTCAGAGAGAAATGTGAAAACTGCACTGAGAAATCATAGGGGCTGACAGTTGGGAAAACATGTTTTGTGTTTTTGTCACTAAGAGCCTACAAGCACTAGGTCAGCTTGAAACTATTTACTTCATTGTCGTGCACAGAACCATTTAACTATTACCTCAGATACATTTGGGTGTGTTAGAACATTGTCTGTTTTAGCTAAGACTAAAATCAATCCCTGAACAAAAAAGATTCCTAGTAACTTCTCCCACAGCACTCAACATTCAGTAATTATCTAAGATGAGCATTCAGTAGAAATTGAACAGAATTACAAGCACAGCCTGTGGAAGCTGAATAAGAACATGGACTCCATGGGGATTAATACGTTTTTTAAATATCCTCCTCAGGGTTTCCTGAAAAAGCTCAAGATCTGATCATTACAGTGTTTCTTCCAAGGGCACAACACATTCATTCAGACTTTTCCCCAAGTGGTACCAGATCACTTGGGATTAAAAGCCCCCCTGGAGAGGGCACTGCTGTGGTGGTGGAAGCAGGGATGTGGAGGAAAGGTGATCCCCAAAGGAAAGACTGAGCAGTTTATCAGCACTGAGCTGGACTTCACGCATGGGTACCCTTCAACAGTCAAGGCCTTCTTGTCTTGGCTCTTCCAGTATCTCGAGGGTGTCTGCTTTCTTTGGCGTGTTCCCCCTGACTCTGAACGTCTGCCTTTTAGTTCCCTGATTTAGGACTCTTGTCGTTACAGCGGATCCACTCTGGGGACTCAGGGGAAGTGATCGCAAGGCTTTGGTACCCAGATTAGAGCATGTAGAGCTGCGTGGGAGAAAATACTACCCATAGTGTTTAAAATGCATAAAGATGTTTCAGGTGGCAATTTAGTCTGTCATTATTCTGAACATAGACTGTTAACTGAAAAGCTGATAATGCAAATAATTCCTTCAGAAAGAAGTCAAGTAGCAAATAATTACACTCTTTAAAAATGTATAAAAACCCTGAAAGTCATCAGTTACTGAATTGGACTGTGAATCTCAGTGGTTAGTCTTGTACATATAACATGTTGCTACACATTATGCCAAACATCCATCATATATTTCCTTCACTTTCATTCATATCTTTCCTTAATTTCCATGCCTTAATGTTTCTTATTTGAAATATTTCTTTTTTAAAGATTTATTTTATTTTTTAATTGGAAAATCAGATATACACAGAGGAGGAGAGACAGAGAGGAAGATCCTCCATCCGCTGATTTACTCCCCAAGCGGTCGTAATGGCCGGAGCTGAGCAAATCTGAAGCCAGGAGCCAGGAGCCTCTTTTAGGTCTTCTATGTGGGTGTAGGGTCCCAAGGTCTTGGGCCATCCCTGATTGCCCTCTCAAGCCACAAGCAGGGAGCTGGATGGGAAACGGGCTGCCAGGACATGAACCAGTGCCCAAATGGGATGCTGGCACATACAATATGACTTTCTCTACTATGCTACCTCATAGACCCTTGAAATATTTCTTAAAAACAATTTTCTGCATTTAACTTTATTTTTCTGGGCCTTAATCACTGCCAGTTCTTTTACTTTCTCATAATTACTATCCATTAATTTATGTAATGCTAAGGAAATAAAACCAGATTAAACTAAAGAACATTAATTCATTAGTCTATATTTTCTTTTAAAATTTTTTTAAGAATTTATTTGAGAGGCAGAAAGAGAGGAAGAAAGGTAGAGACAGACAGAGGCTTCTTACCCACTGAGTCACTGCTCAGAAATGCCCACAACACCCAAGGCTGGGCCGAGAATGAACCCAGGAATCTGGAGCACTCCATGTCTCCCGTGTGAATGGAAGAGACCAAAGGACTTGACTTGTAACTCTGCCTCCTAGAGACTGCATTACTGGAAACTGAATTCAAGAGCAAGATCTGGAAATTAAATCCTGATACTGTGATATTAGACAAGGGTATCTTAACTGCAAATGTCCACTCCCTATAGCTAACTTTTAAAAAATAATATATTTCACTATTTGAAAAAGTTAAGTATGTGCTCTTCTATTCTACCATATATAGTAAATATCAGACCTAGCAGAAGTAAGGAATTTGGGAGGCAAGTTAGTCCAATGTGAATTACTCAGCAAAAGTCCAAGAGCTTTGGCACCCACAGTGGGCTAGTATTCTTCCTAACAAATAAAACATTGCAATTTTCAGTATTTTATTAAACTCTTCCTTGCACTTACAGTGAAAATCCCAGGGCAAAGAAAGCTGACAAAGGAAATGAAAAATGTAAATTATTAAATAAGTTTTCACAAGCTCTAGAGAGCTAACAGACTAAAAAGAAATTAATATTTGACTCACAAATCTCAATGTCAGGAATTTTATATATTACATTCTCATTTAAATTAACCATAAAGTGCTCATAAATTACTATTATAGATATGTAACATATTAAGCTTTAATTCCCTATTTTTTTATTCTTTAGAGAAAACTTTCCGTGAAAGGAGCTGATTTTCAAATATGTCAAAGAGACCATAGGGTGAAAGAATAAGAGGAAAAGTAAATTTTAGCCAAGTGCTGACAAAACTGTCAGTAACATTTATGATACAATGGAACAAAAAGACATTTCTCTGTGTCTTCCACATGAATAAAAGTTTGCATAGGAACTTATGTGATGATTTACATTTGGAAGAATTACTGCATGCCAACTGTATGCTCCGTGTTACACATTCATATCTTTGTCCTGTACTAAAGTCCCTATTTGTTGACATCTTAACAAGACCCAGAGACAGCCAGTAATTTACTCAAGAGAACCAGCTGACATTTTTAAAAGCATAGCTCATACCTATAGGATCAGCAAATTTTGTTGATATTTCTCCAATTGTCTTTTCTTCATCAACAAATAAATCTACACTAATCCCCAGGGACAACTACAATAACCTTCTAACAGGTTGGTGGACATTAAATGCGTCCTGCTTTATACTATTCTCCACATTATACCCATTATTACAAAGTTTTCACAGAAACATAGTTATGTTACTGTCTGCCCTCCATGTACCCTTTGGAGACCCAACCTAATTCTTATGGAATACTGCATATGCCCCAAGAGGACTTCCTTCCTCTGCCTTCTGCCCCCTTTGTCCCTAGTCTCTATCGCTCTGACTGCCTTTTTCCCCATGGCACCTGGTATTTCTTTACCTCTTGTTTTCAGTAACTATCTTATGATGCATCCAGGCCTACTTTCCTATGACGCAAATATCCAATGTAGGGGATTTCCTTTATTATGGTGTTAAATCATTTTTCTTACCAATTTTCATTCTCTTATGAGACACCAGTTACAGCTACATTCATCTCCTGTGCCAAGATTTGAGGTGTCTTCTGGGTTATCTCTTATATGATTACTTTTCCTTCACCATTGGTGCCATCTTCATAATTCTTTGATCACTTTTTATTATGTGTTAGGTACTGTGCAATACAGTACATAGACAGAATATTCTATTACCTTCTTTGAAGAACTTCCCCTTAATTCAAAGAGGCCATTCTGTATCCCGAACGTGAGTATGAATGACTTTAGTCTTCCGTTAAGGAGCACTTATTGAAAGTCTAGCATGGTTCACAACTCATGTAAATCTGTGAGATGCAACATCCAGGCTCAGCCAATCCCATGGATCGTACTGGGGTTTAGGTTCAGGCTTTGTTAAGGAGTAGTTCAAAAGCAGTTATTCAAGTCTAGCTTCTCATGATGAAGACACAGCCTTTCTTTTCTCAGATAAATACTAGTAGCGGCCACCAGCAATCATAAGGCCACTCTACTTTTGTGGTTTGAATTGGTTCAATTCCTAGCAACTTTTAAAAATCTGGATTCCTTGGTAGGGACATTCTGGAGAGTTTGAGCATTTTCTAACTAAATATATATTCAGAGTTGTGCCTGCCAAGTTCTCACAGATTATCTGCACATGCACTCCTTGGCACCCCTCCATGCACAGGACATGGATTTCTTATGTTCTCAGTAGGACCTGTGCTAATGAAGAGACTGACTGCAGCCAGAAGTTGGGCTTCCGGTGAGGCCACCTGATACATTTTCTCTCAACATCTGCAGTTTTGTCCTGCTTATTGTCCAACGATGGAAAGCAGTTGCCTTATAAATAGTTTCCTGTTTTATGGCTGTTTATTGAGGCAAACCTATATCTGTTTCACTCATAGCCACAAGTGGAAGTTCAGTTGTATTCTTGCAAAGACAGTCTTTTAATCTTCATGAATTATTTATTTTCTCTAATAAATATGTTTTTACAAAACTTTATTTCATATCATTGTCAAATCAGTGGTGAAAATGTTAGACTATTATATAGTTTTGATGATCTGTGATTATTTGAAATTGCACTGTATGTGAGTGAGTGATTCAGTAGAATTCATTCATAGTGAATTACCATGAATTAACATTAATTTAGAGAAATTATATTTAAGTATGATACTGATCTTTCTGTGGTATGAAATGGCAACCATTTTAATGATTAAAATGAAACTGCTAGTGAACAGTAAATTATTGTTCATTTTTTCCTAGTTGCAAATTCATGGAACATTAATAAGATAGTGATTCATATAAAGCACTCACATAGAGTATACTGCCGGACGTTATTTTACCTTAAATCTACTTATTCTACTTGCTGTATTCTAAAATTAAGCTTATAATTAATGAGCTAGACAATTAATTTGAACTCAGAGAGTTTGTCCATTGTTGAATTTAACATATGAAATTGTTTTATATGGCAATGAATGAAAAACATGCAGTGCAAGTTCATAATTCTAAAGCTCCACTAAAATTCGCCAATTTTGACTTAGCATCAATAGCTGTGTTTTTAACACCAAAAATTGAAATTGTTTTCTTTTTAGAAATTAACTAATGAAACAATTTTTAAATATGCTATCTCATGTCTGGCTGACCAAAAATCAGCTGTTCTTCACTGAGGAGGGCAATGAAAAGCATTTTGCCAAAGATTTTTTGGAGCACAAAATCTGGTATAAAAGCATTGTATTGACATTAATGGGATTAGCAGCACAGTCACTGAATTAGGAACGCCATTTAATTGGCCATGAGAAATTCACCTTGTTATAAGAATAGCAGCATCCACTGAAGTCATGTCATCCCCCCAGCTTGTTGACATCTCCAACCGTATATCATTTTTTTTGCCAAATTCTTCATGTTGCCACTTACAAAAGCTTTCTAACATTTTCTCTCCATGGTGTCCAATATAGAGATCTGTCTGTAAAAGAAAATATTTCACTTCAAGGCTAACTGTTTTCTGGGACAACAAAGCACTAAAAACTAAGGGAATTTCTTGAATTATTCAAGTAAGATGCTGACTGTTACAGTAATTAGAACCTGGAGTACATTCAGGATTGATTCAGCCTAAGTTAAAAATCTTATCATTTTGTAAAGGTACAATAATTACAAAACCTGATCAATGCTATTCCAAAAAAGGAAAAAGGTACACTGGAACACTAAGAATGTGAAATTCTTATACTTAAGTTACTTAGTATTTTTGATAGCTGAAGAACAAACTTTTCTAAACTGCCAGTTAAGTAGCATGCCAAAATGATGCCACAGAATATTCTCGATTTACAATGACTTACAGATAAGGATAGGGTTTTTAAATCACATTTTTAGTGAAAGAATAAAACTGCCATTTAAGATGACATTTTAAAATCACACTTTGGACAGTTAAGGTTTGTCAGGATCCTTGGAAATTTAGAATATTTCTTTTTTTGTTGTTAATAAAATGGCAATAATAACCAAAACTAAATGCCAATTGGTTATATACTCTTAGTGACTCCGTGTGTATTTCTGGATGGCAAGTCAATGTAGTATATCGCTAAGATTCAGTTTCCTTAGAAGTTTCCCAACCCAATTTCTCACCCACTTCATTGAAATTTAAAACAAAATAAGACTTCCTTACTGGAGTTTCATGCAGCAGAACAAGCTTGATCACACGAAAATTGACCTGCACCCCAAGGCTCTTGTGTTGGAAAAGGTTAAAAACCTAAAAACAAATAAAAATAAAAGTCCTGAAGCAAAAGCAAATACAACCTCATCTTTTTTTGTTTATGTTAGGATGCAGAAGTCTCCGTGTAGTTGAAAAACCTTATTATCACAAAGCAGGAAGGTCAGTTAGTGTTTGTGTACCTTTTAGAAATCTGCAAATATTTCATGTGTACTAAAGCACTGCTTCTAAGCACTGGATTTCAGAGGCATCACTGCTTGGAAGCAACTGATCTTGGTAGCCGTGTCAAGTGCCACTGGCTGTGCCCACGAGATAGCTGAATAAGGACAGAAAATGTCAGGGTGCAAGACCTCTGTCTACTAACAACCAGCCAAAGAACAGTAAGAACAGTAAAAATAGTAAAGTATATTTATCTTTGAATAGGTGATTCTAACCTTGCTCTCTCTGATAACTGGAATTATGAGTGAACATCTGTGTTGGTTTTTTAAATTTCTACTTATTCTCCCTGTCCACCACCAATAACTGCTCTTTGCTACAATTATCTGACTCATCCTTGAAAAAGGTGTACTCATCAGAGCAGACAATTCAGTTGAAAAATAAGTTTGGCAGTAAGCATTCCTAAATGCAGATACTAACTAGATATCTGCAGTCCAGAAATTGTCAACAGCTACAGTTTTTACCACTGGCCATTATTTGAGTGAATCATACACTAGAATCCTACTTGACATTACATTACATACCCATATAAGAGCTCAGTGGATTATCAGCATCCAGTGGATTTTCAGCATCCACCTCACAATTAATCTAAAGTGTTGATGGAGCTAGCCATGCATATAAACAAATGTCTTAACATTTTCACTAATTCTAACAAATGGCCTTTCAAAAAGGAGAAGAAAGGACACAGGAAAAACAAAGAAAGTAAATACAAATAGAGAATGGTATTTACCACAATCAAAAGTAGAATCGAAAGTGTTTTTTTACTAGAAATATAATTTATGATCTTGACATTGCTTCTGAAATGATTGATTTGGTATACCTAACATACCAAACCAGTAGCATAACTGATGGCAAAAAGGAAAGTGATAGTAATGAGTTAATTTTTAAAGAACTTCATTATCAATACTCACACATTTCTTCCTTAGAGTTTTCTTGAAAAAATTCCAAGCGCACTTTAAAGTTTGCCTACCATATTTAAGATGATTAGAATGAATCTCCTGGCTGCATCTGCTCCGTGATAGGAAACCATTGCAGGGTCTGCAACCACTACAGTCTCTATGTTGTATTCTTGAGGTAATTTGTATGAATATCGTTTCTTTCTTCCACTTTCTGCTACTTTTTTAGACCTAGGTCTTGCTTTATCTGCAACAGAGAATTGATTCTTATTATTTTGATGTACCTCCATTTCAAGCAAAGTGAATAATATTAGCCATTCATTAGAATAAGCTAACCTGTAAGTTCCCTGCAGGCATGAAGTCTCAAAAGTTATCTGACTTTGGAGTACTTTTGAAACTGAGATGACCAGCTATACAGCTAATCTCAGGCAGATGTACCTCATTACTAAACCTTTATACAAGAGTTAGAAAGGGTTTTGCTCTACCTTTTATTAGAGCATCAAGAACACATACAGCCATAACCTTGTGGTGACAAGGATCCAAGAGGAGGCAAACAAAAGCAGCTACCACAAACATATATAAATTAAAAACTTGACAACATTAAGAATTTCTATGAATAAAAGCATGCTGCAATCAGAAAAAAAAAAACATGCCATTCATGTGGGAGAAGATATTACCAGTACTTTTTCAGAATAAACAGAGAGGTAAATGAAATCAAAGGAAAATAAACAAATTAAAAAATAATTTGAACTTAAAGGAGCTTGAGCAGGTATTTATTGCAAGATGATATCTACCTGACTACCTAGTATATGACAAAGTATTCAATCTGATTAGTTTTTAGATATATATAGATTAAACCACAATTAAATACATTTTAATATCCCAAGAATGGTAAGAGATTGTAGTAAGTGTTAGTAAGAACATGGGGGCAACTGGAAATATCACACAAATATTTGCTGGAGTTCAAAATGGGATAAAGGCTTTGGAAATTGCTTAGAAGTGACTACTAAAGTTCAATGTTTGCAAATCCAGTTGTCAAAGAGATACAATATGCACCCAGCAAAAATGCATACAAATTGCATGTGCTGATCATTCAGAGCCACAATGTTTTACACAGCAGAAATGGCAATTAATAGCATAATGGATAAATAAATATATTTGCCTATTTGTATAGTGGGATATTTGACAAAAAATGAAAAGAAACCAATGTTACACCTTCCAGAGCTATGGATGAACATCATAAACAATGCTGAGGAAAAGAGGTCAATCAAAAAAAACATGTAGGAAGGGCAATGCCCTAACATGGAAACATCAAAAGGTGTGAAAATGTGGGAGTCACACAAATCAGCAACACACAGAACCAGTTATCTCCCAGACCTCCCCATCTCTTTTCCTATTCATTTCCCTTTGTGCTCATTTTTCCGTCTATATCAGTACCACTAAATGATAAGGATTTAGGGATAGCTATTCTCTTCATCTAGCCTCAACTTCCCCCAGATGTATTCTCGATTTTTTCTACATCAAAGAAGCCTTTATGGTCATCCTGGCTAACAAAAATACATACTGCCTAAGTATTATTTTCAGTCTCCCTATTTTGCTTAATGTTGCTCCTGAGGCTAGAATAGTGCAGAGTATTTGTTAAAACAGCGTGTTTGATTTGCCTGCTTAAGTGTTATAACTTACTATAGGTGACACTTTAATTATTTTCTACTCTTAGGAATGTAAGTCCATTTCAACCACATAAAGGCAGTGACACAAAATTAAAACTAGCGAGGTTCTGATCAGAAACTCTAAAGGAACTGCCATACTATGGTTAATTACTTTTTTATAATAACACATGTAAAGCATTCACAGAAGCCTCTTTATAAAATTCAAGGCCTAATCAACTATGTAAAAATCATCAGGAAAAAAAATCACATTAGAATTATAGAATTATCCCTTAAATGAGAATAAGATCTATTCTTCCTGAGAGTTTATATTACTACATAATTTAAAACATGTCCAACAAACCATTTATATATAAATATATATGATTAAATACATATTCTGTTTAAAAAAGGTACTTCTGAGGAATTAACTGTAAATGCAACCATACAAAAAGTAAACAAGAAAATTTCTAAATCTGCTTCAAAAACTCAAATACACTATAAGCAAAATTATGGAAAAATGAAAGTATTTCTTAAACTGAATCTCCTATTAACTAAGGGTCATTGGTCAAAATAAAGGCACTTTTTGACATTAAGAACATAAGAAAATTCCTAGGGCAACTCGGTTTTGTTCTTTACATTTCTGCCATAACTAACCCATTGAAATCGCTGTCTGCATCAATTTCTTTGATTTCTAGGATGCTTTATTTTATAAAAGAGAAACCTGAATTGTATTTCAAGGGTACAAAAGAGGAAGGTAGGCTCTGTACTCTCTAGCTGTATGTCATAGTTCACAACATCACTGAACACTGAAGCTTAGAGAAGTGAGAAACTGCAGACTGAGGGTCCTAAACTCTGATGGATGCAAAAAGTACAGGAAAACAACAGACTTGTGTATGTAGATACAGAAGGACCTCCCAAGATACAGCTGCAGCATGGCTGGGTTATAGGAAAAGAAAGGAAAACCTTGAAGCAAGCCAGGGAGTCTGGAAGCTTGAAAGGTTACGGTACACTGGGACAGACATGAAAGATGTCCGAAGTCTCCAATGTTACTGTGAACGAAATGCACAATAACCATGTCAGAGTCCACGATTATAATGTGGATGCCTTGTTTCCCAGATTCGATTAGTGTATCCAGATAGGGTTCACAGCATTTTCATGGGGGTTCTAGGTGTAATTGTTTTTATTTTTTATTAATCATCCTTAAAGCCAGAGGACATGAAAAATAAAGAAAGAGAGGCAGATCTCTCACCCACTGATTCATTCCTCAAATGGCTACAAAAGCCAGGACTGGGCCTGGCTGGAATCAGAAGCAAGAAGTACCATTCATATTGCCCATGTGGTGCAGGAGCCCAGTTTTTGGACCATCATCTGGGGCCTTCCCAGACACATTAACAGGAAGCTGGACTGGAAGCAGAGAAAACAGGGCTCTAACCAGCACTTTGATACAGGATGCCAGTGTCACAAGTGGTGACTCATTCTGCTATGCCACAGTGTAGGTCCCACTGTAGGTGATTTCAATTCGGACTGTCTATCTACCATATAAAGAACTTTAAATGCCAGGGTATAGAGTATGAATTTTACTTTGCAAGTATGGAGACTCTTAAAAGGAAATATCAGCAAATGCACCTCTTTGGATATTTGGAAAGCACGTTCCAAGAAGGTGAAATTGAAATCAAGAATACACAAAGAAGGTAACTAAGTGAAGTGATTCTCGTGGACATCAATCCAACTCTGACTTCTCAAAAGCTGAGCTTGCTTATTTCAACCTTTCAGCTTCCTTGGTCTGTAAAATGAGAATACAAACAATACCTATCTCGTGACATTATAGAGAAGATAAAATAGAGAGGCAGGCATCGTGACACAAAGTTTACCTGCTGTTTGGGATAGCAGCATCCCAAAACAGAAGGATCCGGTTTATGTCACACTTATTTCATACTTACTTTCCATTTCCTGTCTAGCTTGCTACAAATGTGGCTGAGAGGAAGTAAATGATGGACCAAGTAATTTGCTTGTTGCCTTTCATGTAGGACAGCCAGATGAAATTCCTGCCCTCAACTGTTGCAGGAATTTGGTGAATGAGTCAGCAGACAAAAGATTTTTCTCTGTCTCTGTCTATTTGTGTCCCTCTGCCTTTAGATAAATAAACAAAGCTTTCCAAAGCAAAAACAAACAAACAAACAAAAACTTATGAAACATCTTCCAGCACATAATACATTTCATAGAAATGTTCTTACTGCTTAATTGCAGCTAAGTAGTAGGGATAGAGAGGTGATGGGCTACAGATTGGGAAGGAGAAAGCAATGTGAATTAGGGGAGTAAAGGCTGGGAGATAGAATGACAGTGCGTTATTGCTGCTGTTTGTTTCGGTGTATTGCTATTTCCCTTGATCTTTTCACCGTCTATAGCTCTGCTGAGCTTATGCTTCCTTTCCTAAAGCTTTTGACCATTTTTACCCATATGCACATTCAGAATAGCACTCTCCAGTTAGAGAAGACATTTCAAAGTCTGAATTCACCAGTGCCCAGTGTGTGTTCTCCATGATGTACTCCCAACGCCGACAACAATTTGCATACCAAATAGAGATGGAGTATGGCAATGACCACAGCAGTGGCCTGCTTATGTCCAATCTAACAATAGAATGGTCTAACTGTCCTGTCAGTCCTTGATTATCAATTCCACGAATCTCTTCTTCCTACTGAATCCCAGAGCTACTCGTAAGTTTATACTGACGATAAGCGGAAAAAATTGATAACAACGCTTGCAGATGAGGTCCTCGACAGAGCACACAGCCCCTTTAATTATTTAGTCCATGACTCTTTTTCCAGGGCATTCCAAGTACAGATATTTGGCTTTGCTTTAGCTCTCCCAGTTTATGATTTCTCGTGTCTTTACACCTTCACATGTGTTGTTATATTTGCCTTAAATCTCTTGCTTCATAGCCACATAACAATGTATGTGGAAATGTCCACATGTGTTTTTAATATTCACAAAAAAAACCCGCAAGTCTAAGGACAGTGTTAAAGTTCAGATATCACTAACCCAGGTTCAATATTGAGAATGAAATATGAGAGAGATAATGTCAAGCTTCCCAAGATCACACAGGCCAGGGTAGCATAGGGATGTGAACCCAGACCGTCTGACACCGAAGTCCATGATCAGTGTCTGTCCATCCCCTTTCTTCTCCCCTGGGCTTGGTAAGCCTCACTTGATCTTTGAGGATTAGGTCCCTACTTGCACAAGATTTTAGCTTGTGCATGCTAATTCCCCAGCAGTTCTTATTACACTTGGTGACTTACCGGTGTGTCTGAAATAACACTCTTCACCTCTGAGGGAGTTATGTCATTAGCTCAACATCCCTATATGGAGACCAACTGTGCTGCTATTGTGAGCAGAGCTCCAGTTCAAAGGTCTAAGGCAATGACCCAAGATAAGCTAGACGGATTGACACTGATGGTGAGAACTGAACCTGAGTCCTCTACATCATCTTGTAAAATAACACAGTGAAGATACATCAAATAGGAGGATATCTGGGAAAATTTACATATAATCAACATTATAATCTACCAAAACCACTAAAATGATGAGAAGGAAAGACTGCAAAAATTTAGGCTACAGATAAGTTTTATTGATGATTGTACTTCACAGAGGCAAACCTGGGCCACGTGATTAATATGCTGGCACATAAGCCTAAAGCAAGACAGGAGAGCCACAGCTGCACATAACAGCAAAGATGAACACATATTTTATTTTGAAGACTGACATTTCTAAAATTATTTTAATATTCCTGGCCTTTAAAAGTATCCCAAAACAGCGAAGCTTAGTTAGGTATCCAACTGACCACAGCTTAACACTCCTTGCATACAAATCCCTGAAATGAGCAAGTCAACATTAGCATGCAGCAGTCACACCTTCAGAGCCTTCAGAAACGTTATGAAGGATTTTGCCAAATACAAACTGTGATTTTATGCTTCACTAATCTACTAAATTAAGAAATTCGTAGAAAATGTTCTTCCATTCATAATGGCATGCAGTGTCTGCATTGCGTCACCCATTTGCATGATTAATCACAACAGGTGAAAATTACTAAGATCCAAAAGGACACAGTACAGATTTTCAGCATAATTCACACAAAAACACTCCCTTTAAACAAATGAATTCCAAATTCTTGGTGTTAATTTTTTATCATTTCACAAGACAAAAGTTTTGGTTTGTTCATGTTTTCTGCTTGATAAGAGTGTAACTTTTTGAGCTATCCTTAACTCCTTTGTAGAATGGGGGAGTGGCAGAGATGATTAAATTGACTTGAATGCGCACACAGGATAGTATGACAGACTCACAACCACTTTTGAAGATAGTTCCTATGCAAATTCAGATCACAGGTCTTCACACATACATGTGAAGAGAAGATGCAGATTAATCTGAGATAAATACATCCTAAACAGAAACCCATTTTTCTTTTCTCAATCCAAGTGTTTTAGGAAATTGAAGAAGTGAACATCTTATGGTTTCTGCAAATATTATTTATCATCACAGTTCACAATCTAAAGTAACCCCAAAGGCATTAACCCAACTGAAGATTTGACATCTTGGTACCAAAGACATTATCACTTCATTTCAAAGCTGAAATTCAAATGTTAAAGTCTTCACACTTAAAACTCATGAGTTCATATTTCCTCTGGCTGCATATAGAAATACTGCCCACAGTACTGAATATTCATTGAGATTTCTGGATTAGATATCTTAAAGAATTTTACTAGGAAAACCTTATTTTTATTTTCAATATTGGCGATGACTTTCAAGTCTCGTTAACAGAAACCGTTCCTTTTCCTTAGCATTCCTGCAGATGTCACAGTTGTCTGCCTAACGGAAGGAAGCAAATGTATGAAACAGTCCTCATTTCATTTCTGTGAAGAATTGGCAGCCACATGGAGATGAGGATCTGATGGCTGGACTGTTTATGGGCTACTAAAACCTTCCAGACTTAAGGCTTCAGAAGCTGATCTTAAAAATATTAAAGTATAAATCTATTTTAATGTATAAACCTTTAACAATTCCACTAATGTTAATCTCCAAGAAGATATTTTAGATGGGTGAGAGCAAAAGTAGAGGATGCCTCTAGTCAAAGTAATGAGATACCTATGATGTTCTCCTAGACGTAGCCTAAAATATGTCGTGAGCTCATGGTATTCAGTTTCAGGGGATCTGGAATTCTATCAATGTCATTGCTTATCTAGGGAAGTGAACAGGATCTTATGAAACTGTTCAAGAAAGGTCTATGGCACATTACATGTGAATCTGTAAGCCCTTTTTAGTTTCCATTCTTTGATACAAAATTGTAATCATGCTTCACAGAAAACTGAACTCTGAAATACATTTAATAATTACTAACAAAAACAGATCACAAACAAATACATAATTCTCATCAGCAGATGAGACAGATAGTTGAGGTGGGCATGTTTGAAAGAATTCATCTCACATCATATATTTAGTTAAACTGTTTTTGGAAAAAGCATTACCTGGAATGACACCACAGTAATGACTGTGGACAGCTGATTTCTCGGAGCCCTTGTCCTCCACGGACCTTTTCTGTCTATACACACGGTGTGGGTGGCCTGTTATGGCCACTGTATCATTGAGCGGCTCAATAAATAGGAAGTCCTCATTGAGCTGTATGAATCCCATCTGGAATACATAACACAAGAAGAGGTGTAAGAAAAACCATTTAAAATGTACTTTCTGGTTCCTTTATTCATAGAGTCTATTTGCTTTAGCACAGTCTTCTATTGAAAATATCTTAGCAACCTCCTGGAAAGGCAACCATCTTCCCACTTTATTGCTTCATCTTGATATACTTATGGCACTCATATCAGCTTCATTTAGTCAGCCCTAGCACGTGTGGGTGGGAAGCTGGTTGCCAGCAACAGACGCACAGTAAAGACTGCAGAATGTTATAGGCTCATTTTGGGAGATACATGGGGTCAACTTTCATGTACAGCATGTATAAGAGGAGTAATAGAGCTTTTAATTGCATATATCACATAGTCCAACATCTGAGCAATTACAACTTAATAAAGTAGTTCATGTATCACATCAAGGCAAATCTAGGAGAAAGTGCATGGAAACAAACCTACAAAATATTCTTAAAACCTTTGCAGAGTAAGTCTGAAAAAAATGAAACATCATTTACATAAACAAGTTAATTTCATATAGTGTCATGGTGCAAATGGCATGCAGTTGTGCACCAAGGGTTAGAAACTTTAAAATATGGTTAGGATCAATAAAAATATGAAGTAGCTGTTATCCTTGTAATATTGAGATTAAGCCTAGTTATTTCTTTCCTTGGTTAGAATAGAAATTAGTTTGCTAGTAGTGTTCCCCATGAAATAAAATGTGGTGACTCTCATTCCATTTTTGTATTTAAATTTACATTATTAATATATAAATAGCATGTATTTGATGATGGTATCTCTTTAGTACATTTTTTTGAAAAAATAATCTCTTAGTTTTAAGAGGTTAAAATTAATTAATACTCAGTCTAGCCATATTTATTTCTTTTGTTTGCATTAACCATAGGAAATTTATGTATGATTCATTTTAATTTGGTTCACATAGAGTTAGCATGATATACTTCTTAAGATATATTGTAATAGTTGTGTTGAAAGCTTATATATAGACCTTTTTAGAAACAAGGTTACTTCTAAAAAGGAAAAATGTTGGAATACTTATAAACGGTGACTCATTCATTCAACACATACTTGCTCTCTGATTGTGTCTGCCAGGCTCCGTTGGCATATTTAGCAGCAAGTGCTACAACATGCCTGTTGTGAGAGCAGGACTCTCCCCACAGCACAGCAAATGGCAGACAAGCTTAGTTTTCTGTACTTCCTCAGTGGGCTCACTTTTGCCATTTGCTTTATCTACATTGTGGTTTTATGAGGTGCAGAGGGACATGAACCCAAATTAACCTCTGCACCAGCACCCCAACATTCCCCAGGCCACAGGTAGGGAGCATGGCTTGACATTTTGCAAACAAGATTATTTGCATGAACATATTATCTAAAACAAATGCAAACTGTCTAGGTGTTTTTCGCCTAGGTTGTCCTGTTTTAGTTGTTTTTTTTTTTTTTCTCAGAATGATCTAAACCATTTGGAAACATTCATGAAGATATCTGGAAGCAAATCTTAGTGCTTGAAAAAAAGCAAAACAATATTCTTGACTGAAAAATGAAAGCCATTGGTTTAACAGGATGTTTAATAAGATAACCAATCCACTGGCCAGTGTAAGATGTTTCATGGCACTGGGGAGATATCTGAGGAACACATGTGTTTTAGTGGTAAATAGTGGGAACAAATCCCTTATAGAATTTGGCATCAGTACATGATTATGAAAATATTTAATTCAAATATATGCTTCCCTATATCTGAAATTCTATTTAAGTGATTTTTTCCCCTCCATTTAGGTGGGGGAGAGAGGTATGGAAATATTATAGCATATATCTAAGTAAATAAAACATCATGTAGCTTGAAAGACAAGCATAATGTAGGACTTGGCGTAGACTAATATCTTTGATTTTATCCAAACCAAATGTTATTTCAACATTACTATAACTGGGTGTGGTTTCCTATATTTTTGCATATTCTGTATAAATATTTGTATGAAAATGTATGTCCTCTTCCATGCATAGCTTACTGTCTCATCATTCTAAAACACTCTTCATGATTTATTCCTTTCATTGTTTGCCTTGTTTGCCCAGAGGACTAAATACCCTTAATAAAGATACTATAAACTAGATATAAAACTATGATAAACTCTTGCCTACATCCCCATGTTTATTTTTTTTCCTATTCAAGTTTTGTGCACACGTAGAGCAAACAAAATTTAATTGTACAAGTATCACATATTTCAGAATAACTTCTAGTTGAATCATATCCTTGGAAATCACACACGCTGCCTTGGCTTCCCAGAAAGTCCCTCTTGCTGTGAAGAGCTGCCAGTTCTGCAACATAAAGCAGACCCTGTCTAATTTCCAGAACAACCCCTGTCCTGCCTGTCCATCTTTACATTGCATGTTTCCTAGTTGCGCTGTAAGTCTCCTGTGGGTATTGTTTCAGATCTCAGATCAGATTATGAGCTACTGGAAAAGACAGTCAAGGTCTTCATGCCTGTAATACTAGTGCACAGCAGAAGCCCAAGGAATGTTGCATTTAAGTCAGTAGACTTTAAACTATTTTCTTTTGAGATAAAAGACATCAATTCATTGCTTTGAAAAGCATCTATTCCCTTCACCAAGCCAGTGAGGTGGGCCGATCACACCTTTGCTTCCTCTCTCGACCACTTCCAAGGTTAGTTTGCTAAACGCTCAAGTGTATTTTTTTACTTGGCCAAAGAGCTTCAAAGAGAATCATAAAATTATAACAACAGAAGGACATGTTCATCTGAGCACTAGAAGAGCTGAAAATCAAGGAAACCTGGCCTGAGAAATATGATGCAGTTTGCCCTCTATCACAGAGTTCAGGCTGCAGTCTGTCTTCCAAGTTAGTTTTTGTTCTTAATATGTCTGCTACTATTTGCTTGTTACCCATATTCTAATTTCATTTTCACCAACATTCTTGGTTCCATGTCCCTCGCCCCCAAACTTTAAATTGTTCTGAGGCCACCTACAATTTCCTTTTATTTTCTTCTCTATACTTGATCCTTGACCACTGTCTTTTCATCAAATTTGCATCACACTTGTCATCTTCTATAGCAATTATTTCTTTTTAAAAATCTTTCATTTATTATTATTATTTTATGACACAGTTCCATAGACCCCTGAGATTTCCCTTATCCTCTCTCTAACTGCCCACCCCTGCCCTGAGTTCCCTTATATCATTACTAAGGTATAGTTCTTCATACAGTCATATGTCCGTTATTGTGGGCATGGACAATGGCAGAGAGTTCAGCATCCTATTCTAGCAATTATTTCTTGCCTTAAACAAGCATGTTCCTCATCGCCAGGCCAAGCTAAGATGGAGCAGTTGTTCCTTACATCCATCCTTCACTCTGTATTTTGGAAACCTCCTCTGAGGGGTGATTCTCAGCCACTCTGCCTGCATGCCCTGGCTCCCCTGAGTGCCCTTCTCCTGGTGGCTCACTTCCATTATCTCACCTCATTTGTAGCAACATTCCCTCCAAAACAGCACCTCCTCTCTACATCTCTATAACTATATAACTATCTCTGCATATGGCCTTGTCTTTTATCCAGTTGTCCAGGCTAAAATTACAGTTTTTACTCTTCCCTTTCAAACTTAAAGTGTATGCAAGAAAACAGTCATGGATGAAAAGAGTTTGTCTAAACTCCAGGAACTTCATATGCATTATTTATCTTAATTTACTAATCTGGGAAAGCATATGTGAATTTCACAAGTTTCGTGGTAGAAAAAAAGCCAGTTTCAAAAAGATCTACAGTGTCCTAAGATCACAAATCATTACTTGATGAAGGCAGGATAGAAAACAAAGACTATGTGGCTCCAAGTGCAAACTGCTTTTATGAAACTCTAAAAAAGCCAGGCCCGCTGTAGGACAGCTATGTCAAATAATCCTTATCTTTAACAAATTTTGCACTAAGGATTTGGACATTAAACACCTCACGGATGGGGAATACTCAAAATTTGATATTAATAACAAGACCAGCTCCTACCCCTCAGAGAGCAAACGACAAAAATATTGCATCCAAGGTTCTGAAGCTTGTGTCCAACTAATTTTTTCATGTAATCACAATCCATCTGTCAAAGGGACCTTAGCTTTTAGGGGGCAGTGGACTTAGTCTGGAGGCCTCCATCCAGACAAATGCTCAATATTTTCCCTATGGCACATGGGGCTTCAGTCTTTCTTTCCTTCTTCCATTATCTTAATTCTGTTTTCTTGCTTCAAATGTTTTGTGATCATAAAATTAGAGCTTTTAAATCAGGAACATTGTTAAAATAGTTTTAAAAATATAAGTATCCAACAATCCCACCATATAGGTGGTGCAAATATACATGTACACTTCTCCCAAAGAGGTCAACACATGTGCAGACACACATACCTTCTTATTCATGTGTGTCTGTGAGTGCATGTGCACGTACAATTCGATTTTATCTCCTGGCTTTCTTTTGTACTTAAGAATAGCTTTGGTTTCTTAATAGCATTCAGGCATGCTTATAAGCATAGTTCATAATTGGTTCATAAAGTTTAACTGCAAAACACATTGCAGTTTTAGTAACTACTCACCCATTCAGCCTTTAACTCAAAATAAAGAGCATCAACTTTGGACAGTCAGATCTTACAGTATGGCAGTGACTACAGGTAGCAAAACCCATCATCTTCTTTCACTACAGGAATACAAACAATGCTCTGTCTCGTCAACTTAGTGCCAAACACTTGTTTGCTATTCATAACAATTTGTTAAGATTTATGGGCATCGGGCCCGGCGCGGTGGCGCAAGTGGTTAAAGGTCCTCGCCTTGCACGCCCGGGATCCCATATGGGCGCCGGTTCTAATCCCGGCAGCCCCGCTTCCCTTCCAGCTCCCTGCCTGTGGCCTGGGAAAGCAGTCGAGGACGGCCCAACGCTTTGGGAACCTGCACCCGTGTGGGAGACCCAGAAGAGGCTCCTGGCTTCGGATCGGCATAGTATCGGCCCGTTGCACTCACTTGGGGAGT